GCCAGCTGGAGCCGGGGGTCAGACTAGATGGCCCGGGAGACCCCTTCTGACTCGCTCTGTTTCTATGTTTCTATGTCTTTGGTTTGATACATCTCAGCTCTTATGTTCATACCCAAAACACGTAAATATCCTGCTTAGGTTTGTCGGTTTGTTATTTCATTGCCAGTCTAGGCATCACATCAGACCTTATTTAGAGGGCTTCTTCCAGCCTTGTGGGTGTTAATTAAAAAAGTAATGTTACCATGCAGCTCAACATAGTCTGGCAGTGCACACTTTGAATCTGTGATGAAGAATACAAAGGCAGGCACTTTTATACCCAGGTGGCCAAAGCAGAAGGAAATGATGGCTGATAGTCCAGTAAAGATAGTGCAACATATCAGCAAATATTGAAATGCTTGCAAAGACCTTTTTGGAGACAACAATCAGCATAAGAAAGGAGATGCTAACGTCTAGTTTAATGCAAAATGCTGTTTTGATCAGGTTGGTGGTCTTAGAAGGCAGAGGGCACTGCCAGCAACCAATCTGGGCACTGCAGGCCACATCTTGCAGGCCCTTGAAAGGGCTCATATGGTTGCTGAGTCCCTTTCCCAGATGCTTGGGGCAAGCACGTTCCAACCACACCATAAGTGCCTCTTTTCTCTATCCTACACGCTTTTCTACAAATGGATGTTAATCCACTGCATGTAGTTCTGGTCTTGTCATAGAACTGAGATCCAAGCACAAAATGAGGAGAATTTCTTTTCCTGCTTTTCTGCTACCCAATAAAATATAATTTTCCCTGCTCCAAAAATATTGCAGAAAGGGTTGTTTCCAAACAGAAGCAAAATTGGTTTTGCTCACATCTACACATTTCCACACATTGCCGTCTAAAGCAGTGGTTTTCAACCTTTCTACAGCTGGGGACCGGTGAAGACAGGAAAACCGCCTTGGGGACTGCTGAGGCAGAAACAAAAAGCATCATACACATAATACAGTATTCTGTGTATTCATTTCCAAACACAATACCAAAAAATGAAAATTCTCCAAAACAATCAGAAACTAAGCAACAAAAAATAGCAGAAGAACAAAATACCAAAATTGGCACATCATGGCTTCCAGCCGGATCCCACCAAGCCATCTCTCCTCTCCCCATCCTTCCCGGTGAGTGGGATCTGCCTCCTGCCCCCCACAGACTGGCAGAAAATCTGCAGACTGGCATTGGTCCACGGATTGGGGGTTGAAAACCACTGATCTAAAGAGCTTGTAAACAGCCCAAAGCAGATAATGATAAATGCAGAGGCACTTTGTGCAGAAAAGCTCTATGGCTAACCCTCTTCTCAGGGTTTTGGAAGAGGCACCAGCAGTCATGTGAGCCTGCATTGGGCAAAGCAGATATTCTTACCTACCCTGTAATAAGGCCTGGAGATAAAAAGCATTATGTTACATGAAGCTGGATCCTGTGGCTTTAATCAATTAATTAAAGCTTTATATACCATTTCTGAATGGAATAAAAATTAGAAGAAAAGACCTAATACGATAAAAGAATACAACATAGTATACATAGGTGTAATATAGATCATGTCACAGTAATCCCAACCTAATTAGAATAGGATGCATAAGTAGATAAATAATAGTCAAACAATCCATAGTGATCTAATTACAGTATAAAACGATTTGATTTTTTCCCTTTAACATTAAATAACACTGAGAAAAATGCTTTGGCCTGGTACAGAAAAACAAAAAGACTGGGTGCTAGGCAACGCTCTTAGGGGAACTGATTCCACAACATGCTTTCAGCATGTTAAATAAATAAAGAGGAAACTCATTTTAAACTTTCTTTAAAATCCCATGGGAATAAAGAGGTAAACGTGAAAGACCATCGCAGGAAGGAACTTAGAGAATCTCAGTTAATTCTATCAGGGCCTGGGCTGGTATGTATGGAGAAGTGATCCCTCAAGTATCAAGGCTTACATCCAAACTTGGTCATATATAGCCATGACTAACTCAAGTCTTGATTCCAGTGGCTGTACTCAAATCATGACTATGTCTAGAACCAGGGCTGACATGAAAGGTAGCGTGGGAGGTCACCTGCCAAGGTCTTGCCACACAGCAGGGACCCCGGACAACCTGCCCCACCTCAGCTGTTCCTCCTCTTCACCACTGCAGCACACTTCTTCCTATGCCTCCCACTTCTGTCAAGGCAGCAGACGGGGTGCGGAGGGGGACCAGGGCATCTCCCCTCGCCCAGGGCATCTCTGCCTGACAAGCAACCAAGTGGTAGCAATGAGGAATAAAGGAGGAGGAGAAGCAATAGTGGCTGCTGACAATGACCTGGGATGGGTGGGGATTGAGGGTCTCTCGCCCAAGGGACTGCCAAAACTGGAGGCTGCGCTGTCTGGAATCAGCCCCGAGAACCAGGCCATGAAGGTCTTAAAAAAAAGAAAATTGAAATCAACACTTTGAACTAGGTTTGGAAATGATGGCAAAATCCTGTGAGCTCCTTGGATGTAGGATGTGATAAGTGACTATATGAATGACAACTCTTCAATGATGATAAAAATCTACATGGGTTTTCTGGCTTCTTTTCTTCCCTAGATCAGTTTATCAAAGCTTTGCAAGACTACGAGGTGGTCACCCCAGTGAAAGTGACTGCAGATGGGCATTTTCTCTCCTACAGTTTACACCACCATGCATCAAATGACAGAAGGAAAAGAGACTTAAGGAGAAAGGACAACAAAGTGTATTATAAAATCAAGCACAAAGAGAAGGATCTCTTCTTTAACTTAACCCTCCATCAAGGATTGCTGTCCAATAATTACATTCTGGAAAGGCGGTATGGCAACTACACTGGTGCAAAGGTCATCCCACATCTGGAAACTTCATGTCACTTCACTGGCACGGTGCTGCAGACCCACTTCTGGAATGGAAGGACAGCAGTCAGCGCTTGCACTGGTCTGGTAAGTAGCCATTCCTTTGAAATGGTTATTGCTATTGGTAATTCCAGGTATTCATAAACCAGAACGCTCCAGCATTGTTCCTTTCCAGACTAGAGCAAAATGGGTCTGATTGTGGGTTGTGTTCTAGCCAGAATGGAACAAAACACATCTTTGACCTGAGCTGCTCTGGTACTAAGAAGGTTTTGCACCGCAGATTCAGGATGGTAAAGTTTACATTACACCCTTCATGTCCTTGAGGGAAGGCTGACACAGTTGTGTGGTTTGTGATGCACATTTCATCACTGATGTGACTATACTGGTGGTGAAATAATGACACCACAATGGATTGTGAGAGTTCATCTGAATGATTTCTTTGTTGGCAAATAGCCGAAGCTCTGCTTTGAGGTTTACAGAACTAACCTTAAAACCATACAATGCAATAACCCGGCAAAACATAGTATAGAAACTAAGTTTGAAAAGAAGAAAATCAGACTAAAAACCTGGTAAAAGCCAGCAGCAGTGCAAAGATATAAAAATGCCATTCTTTAAATGGAAGACTATAAAGCCCAGGAAAAAAAGGTCTATACCTGATGCTGGAAAGACCACAGAGAGGCACCAGGTGACCCTTTTGGAAGGGAGCCATCACTTGGAGGACCCTTTTCTTAGTAGCGCCTGCCTCACCTCATTCAGCAGGGGCACCTGGAGAAGGGTCTCTGAAGATAATTTCCATGCAGGAAGATCCATCAAGTATTTTCGACCAGATTTTTACTGGAGATGAAACTTGGGTTCATCACTATAACCCTGAAAGTAAGCAGGAGTCCATGCAGTGGCATAAAAATGGTGCTGACCCTCCAAAGAAATTCAAAGTCACTCCATCGGCCAGAAAATCATGGCCACAATGTTTTGGGACTCAAAGGGAATTTTATTGATCGAGTACATGAAAAAAGGTGAAACTATAAACACAGCATCTTATGCAACCACTCTGCATAATTTAAGAGAAGCAATTAAAGAAGAAAGGCAGGGAAAACTGACCGCAGGTGTGTTGCTTCTTCATGACAACACGCCCGTTCACACGGTGCGTGTTTCGAAGGCTGCTGTGCGAGACTGTGGTTTTGAAGAAATAAACCACTCACCCTATAGCCCGGACCTTGCCCCCAGTAACTACTTCCTATTCCTGAATTTAAAAAAAGATCTTCGTGGAAAGCGATTTTCCGACGATGAAGAGCTCAAGGTGGCAATTAATGCACATTTTTTAGACAAGGAGGAAGGGTATTTTTTACAGGGAATTGAAAAGTTAATTTCTAGATGCAATAAGTGTATTGAAGTTATGGAGGATTACATTGAAAAATAAAAATTATTTCAATTTATTATTCCTTTTTCTTCATGCTGATACTGAGAATACATTGAACGCCCCTTGTATAATTTGTTTGTAAGCCATCCAGAGACACATAGTGATTCGACAGGTTAGAAATATCCCAAATAAGTAAATAAATTAAGCAATGCTTTTTGTTGGTCTTGATATTGTTAATGATATGCTCTTCAAAATTGGGTTTGTTTTCTGCGGGTTTTCTGCATCTCTTATTATCTGCTTGTGCAAGCTTGAGCTCACTTCTTAGCCATGCTCTTGACCTGTTTGATATGCTGCTACCATTTCTAGCCTGTGACATTCTTTCCAGCTGAGCTTCTCTGTGTGTTTTTGCATAATCTCCAAACATTTGGAAGGCATTTAACTCTTTTGATTGCTCTTTTCAACTCGTCCTTCATTTTAGAGGCTTCCTCTCTTGAAATCCAATGCAACTATGTTGGATTTGGCAATTTTCCACTTAAATCAGGGGTCTCAAACTCAACTCACCTGGGGGCCGCTGGAAGTAGAGTCTGGGTGAGGCTGGGCCACATCAAGTCTTCCGGCCGCTCATCCCGCGTCGCTCCCGGAGGCCGGCCCGGGCACCACCGGCGCTTTGAAGGCCGCAGGGCCCCTCCCCTGTGCCCCGCCCATCCCAGCAATTGGCCCGTGGGCCGCGAGTTTGAGACCCCTGACTTAAATGCATATTAACTCCAATGACACTGTGAGCACTGTTCCAAGTGGCTCCACGGCACGCATATCTCATCCTAGATCCTCCTAGGCAGCATCACTTTGAATTAAACATAACCTCTTTTCAGGTTGCTTCCATGACCAACTATTCTAAGACATAGTTATGTAGGGCATTGAGAAATGTAACCTTGTTGTCGTGACTAGAAGATGTATTTATCCAGTTAATGTGGAGGCAGTTGACATTACTCTTCATGCAGTAGAATAACATAGGCAGGGCCCTTGTCTTTACTGCTTTCTGTTCTGAGCAGCTACCAGCCACAAGCTTTCTGGGAAGCAGAAATGAAAGCAGCAGAAGCCCCTGCTCACTGCCTCAGAAACTGGGTGTTTCACTTATCCCATATAGCAAGCCGCTGTTGACAGGCTGATCTATAAATTTGTCAAGCCTTCCAATCAGAACATGCATATGAAGTCTGGGGGCGGAATTGCCCTGATATGCATCACTCTACATCAGACTTTCCTAACCTGGTCTCCTCCAGAGGTGCTCAACTGCAAGTTTTATTATCCCCAGCCCGCAAGAACTGGTAGGGAAATCTGGTCTCTGCTTATATGAAATGCCAGTTGCCTTTTTGTTGTTTGTGCTTTGATGTAGATCTTTTTAGACTTCCCCAGTCTGCTTGCATTTCCACTGTCCTGATAACCTACCCATATATGAAGCTGCTTGAGGCAGGCGTGGAAGACTGTTTTCATTCCTGAATGTTGAAGATGGAGTTTCAAGTTGGCTCAAGGCCTGCTAAAATACCCTGGATCCAGGGAAGGATACTGAGGTCTCCGTCTACTCCTCCTTCCATGGGCAAACAGTCTGGAACACATGGTGTTTCTCAGTGGGCCAGCCCTTAAAGCTGATGCCTTCATGGTGCTAAGTCCATCCCCCATCTCAGTTTGCTCCTCAGAACTGCCCCCCTCCAACTTGAATCTCTCTGGTTCTCTGGGACTGGCTTATCTCTGGATCTGTTAGCCTTGGCATTTTAGCTGCAAATTCCAACCCCCGCCAGAATCAAAATCTGAGTTAACAACTTTTGGAGGCTGTATTATGGGAGGAGTCAGTCCATTCTCTACATTACTGGATTTTTGGCCTAGCCCCAAATCACCAAAAGAGATTGAGTGTAGCTAGCTTGCAGCAGGCTGCAGAATTCAAGCCAGAGTGTGTTCCCAGTCCTTAGCGCTCTCTTAGCTCTGCAAACCAAACTATGCCAATGTAAACATGTGTGGAGCAGCCTCCCTGCAGCCCATCAATGTGGAATGAGAATTCTTAGGAAACATTGCTGGCCTGTAAAATCTCCTGGAACTGTTCAAAAGCAGGCTTGAAAGCAGGACTGGTGCAGATAGACACACTGTCCTGTGAGCGCAGCACATGAAATTATACTGACAACTATTGGCACCGTTGAAATAGCGTTTTCTAAATGTGGTAAAGAATATTACACAGTCAGAGGTGGCGCTAGATGCTGAAAAGATCTGGGGCTCAGACCCAGACAAAAGCAGCAAAGGCTGCAGCTGCAAATGCTAATTTAATATGCTCCAAATTCTTTGTCTCTCTGTATGTTTGTCTGTAAAGGAGACAACTTCAGAATAAAGCCTCAGACAAAAAGATTCAAGGCCAGAGGTGGGGTGGCTGTAGGAGGCAAAGCACCTGTGATCAAAAAGCCAGGGAATCCAAGGGATCAGATGCCACAGAAACAATCCGGGTGTCTGGACCCTTCAGCAAGTGCCCACAGACAGAAGTGTGGTGGGGTAGATGATCCGCCTGAGATTTGGGACTCCAAATGAAAGATTTGGGACTCCAAGGTCTTAGTGCCCAGCTCCAGTTCTGATTATGAAAGGAGGCCGATGCATCATGAGAAGGCAAGACTCACTGGAGAAGAACGAAGAAAATCATGCTAGGGAAAGGCAGAAGACGACGACCAAGTGGGAGAAGGAGTGACTCCATAAAGGAAGCCACAGCCTTGAACTTGGAAGTGCTGGGCAGGGCTTTTTTGGAGAGCTTTCATTCTTGGGGTTGTTATAAATTGGAGATGACGTGGCCCAGTGGCCTGTATCCTGTGGCATCATTTTGCCAGCAGAAAGGAATCACTGAGGCAGCTGATGCCCCCCTTTCCCCTAATGCAGAGCAGATTTTGGACATGTGGGGAGCTGCACCTCCATTCATGCAAAACTTCTACTAATTGAAACCAATGCAGTGCCCATGAACATTTGTGAATAATCTGTGCATGGATGAAGCAGAAGAAGCTTTGCCTTTGAACCTCTCTCCAAAGCTGTGTACATGGCAATCCTCTCTAGCCCCTTTATTCTGACTGGGGCCAGGTTGCTGGTGCACAGGTAGGCTCCGTGCAGTGGCTGAGATGAGAGAGGGCTGGTCAGGTGGGTTCCGTGTTGTTCCCAGCCTCATCCATACATTGCACATACCTGCTGCACACACGTTCTGTCTCAGCGCTAACAAAAATAGTGTTGTGAATTATTTCATGAATGCTTATGCCATGATAAGAGGGTTTTGAAGGGACAATAGCAGTAGGTCTTGCCTTTGCTGCCACAGATGAACACACACTAGTAATACATCATTAATAGCAGATGCTCATTAAATGAATGATTGTTATTTTAAAAATGAATATCAAGTGTTCCTCAGGTCATTATTTTGCCAGTGTGGACCAATTTGCTGGCATCCCTCTGCGGCATTTTTCCTTTCTACTGTTTACTAGGCCATTCTCACCCAGGGTGATGAAAAAAAAGATTTAAGAACAAGTTTCCATCTGTTTCCTTTGTGTGAGTTTGCATATGAAACTTAACTTGGTAATACGTATATTGGCAAAAGAGCAACACTCTTTCTTCAGCTTCTTTGCCCTGCCTTCTGCCCAGGTAAATTGCTCCTTTCTACCTTTGCCATGCAATGTGCTTGTGGATTATACTGATTAGCATTAAGACAGACTTTTTTTTTAAA